TTGGCCCCCTGATAGTAAGGATATCGCAGCCCCTCAAGATGGATTTTACTCGCCAAATTAATATTACCCATGAGAGCTCCCCTGTACCGGATACTTCTTTCAACTGCAACCCAAATAATGGCCTTAGGGGAAACCTCATCAACATGTTAGTTCATCCAGATGTAGCTGTGGAATCCCACTGAGTTAAAATCTATTGCATCCACAAAGTTACCGTTAATGTTAATACATGTAAGCTAAATACTGCCCAGGCATTTGTTTGCGTTCACCAAAGGATAGCCTTTAGGTTTTAGGGATGATACCAGCATTTGTTAACCTCAGCATATTGTATATGGCACCCACTTTCTCAGTATAATATATGATCATGCTAGACTTGCTGAAGGACCTGCCCATATGCGTGTATGTACATATATGTGTGTATATACACATGCGAACCCTAAGGTTAAACCTGTACTAGATACCAACATAACTACCCATAGTCGGCATAGTACCACCCATGTTCTGACCCCGATGTTTTCCGTGTTTAATTTCCAACCTCAGTCAGCTAGAAGGCATCTGAGTGGTAGCTGTGATAACCAGCTCTCCATCGACTTCAAAACTGATGCGGACAATGTCCTGTTAGTACCCAGCATATTGCAGAGTATTAATGTTGAGCGGAGTCGAATCCCAATAGCAATGATACTGGAACCTTGTTGGCAACATTAATTCATACCGTGCGGAAACAGTGAGATGCACACTCCTTGCTAGGAAAAGCTTGGGTTTGGAGTGAAATACCAATTTTTCCCAGAGAAAAAAAGGGTTTTGGCCGAAAACCCAACTGCTTCCTAGCAAAAAGATGGTTTTGGGCAGGGAAACCAGCTTTTTCCTATGGAAAACAAAAAACCAAACATTTCTTTGGAAACTATGCAGGCAGACTCCAAAAAGATGTGTTTTTGTTGTCCCTACCAAAAGCTCGTTTTCCTACCAAAACAATCTTCTTCATAGGAAAATGGTTTTTCAGCACAAAACCATCTTTTTCCCAAGGGAAAAGTTGGTTTTGCATACCAAGACCAACTTTTTCCTAGAAACAAAAGGTTTTTCCACTGAAAACCAATGTTTTGCCTACGGAAAACCAAAGCATCTTTTTGGAGTCTACCTGCATAGTTTCCTAAAAGATTGTGGTTGTGGTTCTCCCTTGGAAAAAGTTGGTTCCTGCCCAAAACCAACTTTTTCCGAGGAGAAAGTTGGTCTATCCGCTGGGAAAAGCAAAAGACAATATTTTCGGGCTGTGGCCGTATAGTTTCCCATAACATGTTTTTGCTGGTTTTTTGGTTTTCCACCAGGAAAAAATTGTTTTCTGATTGGGAGAGTACAGTGTTGCGGTTAAGTGCGCGCTCACGTCGATCCTGAACGAGTTGGCTGGCGGTATGTTTGTGACTGGAGGAGTAGAATGCGTGCTCACTTCGAACCCGAACGAGTTGTCTAGCATGTTCTCTTGAAATATGTATTTGGTTGTGGCAGTCTTTGACAGATACAGAATCCGGACCTGCCGGAAAGGCAAGTTTAACACGCTATTTGCGATATTAAACGAGGGTCGGTCGTTCATGGGGGGTACCATATATACAGACATATCTAGCTCTCTCTCTCCCTCTCTTGCTCTACCTCTATCTCTATATAGCTCAATGTCTATATATATGTATGACTTTACATCTATGTAGTATACATCTATCTATGTCTACATCAATATCTATCTGTACCTTTACCTGCATCTAGTATGTTACATAAGATATACAAGATGTCATATATATATATATATATGTCTATCTATATGTATATATGTGACAGAATATACTGTATTCTAATATCTGTACTATCATATGTATTACAGTTATATAACTAATACATCATATTTCAACATAATACAATATAATATCAGGGATTATCATATCATGTATGACAAGATGTGCACAAATATAATATGATGTAATATCATATAAGATAATGTAGATAGTATCATATACTATGAGACGATATAAGATAACATATGTTATATAATATTACAATATGACGTTATATACTACACCAGAGAACATAATAGAATAAAGTAATATCGGAATACAACGCAACATAATATGATAGGAAAATGACGGAATAGAATAAAATACGTTAGACTAGACTAGAACCGACTAGTCTAAACAAGACTAGACTAGAATAAACTAGATCAGAATAGAATAGAAAAACCAAGAAAAGTCTTGTTATGCTGATTTTCGCCGCAATAAGCTTCGCAAGATGTGCCAGAGTGGTCTGTTCGTTTCACCATGCACCGACCCTTACAGTAAATGGTAAGAGCTGACGCGTCAGGGCTGCACAAGGAGATGTCTGACGCACTGAGTTCTCGGCGTGTCCCAAGTTGTTAGAAGCACCCGGTCGATCGTAGGACTCGCGAAAACATCAGAACATCCGTCCGATTGTGTAGTGCGAATATGTGTAGTAGCAGCTGCTGCCGCCAGGGCATGGTCAAAGAGAAGTGTATGGCACAGAGCGCACGGCGTCCGCAGGAGATCCGGATGTCGAGGATGTTCCGCTGGCAACGGCGATTTCCAGTAGTGTTGCGATTTCGGCCAAAAGCCTCGCGAAGCCGCAGGCAGGGTTTGGACTTGAATACAGGAACAAGTGAATCTTGCGGTGGGACGCAGCCGGCGGGATAGGATTTGAACTTTTAGTGAATGCAATCTGAGCACGGATCCCGCATCCAAGACCCCAATGTTGAGCAGGCTTATGGAGAGCCGAACGGTCCCGAGCAAGCTGCGCTCGACGATGCTATGATGTCCTCCAGCATGAGCGCGCAGGAAGAGCGACCAGGCTTCGTGTTGAGTTTTCTGCCTGTTCGTAGGAGGCCCACCCCACCAAGAAAGGCAAAGCAAGGCCCTCACAAGGATTCAATGCCGAGGAAAGTCAAGAAGTTTCGTTCGGAGATGAGCAGCGCTGGGCCGTCGTTTGAAGCACCGGTGGTCATGCAGATCTCGACAGAGAGCCAAGAGCAGAGTATTTATTCCGGTCAGTTATACGTGTTTCAATTCAGGGTGGAAACAGCTGGCCCGTTGTCCCTCGAGATTCGCAGCGATGGCCCCGAGTTACAAGTCCAGCCTTCATCTATCAGTTTCGATGTTTCCGAGGATGTGCCTGTGTACATCTCGATCTCGGTGTATGCACCCTCCCGAGAACTCTCAGGAATGCGGACTGTGACGCTGCAAGGAGGTGAGTGGAAGCGGAATCTTCGGGTGCGGTTTCAAGAACTGCCAGGTGTGGCGCAGCTTCTGTTGCATGACGAACTCCGAGGGCCAGCTGGGCCGTGGCCGTTGTTGCGGTGGAGCGGCGGTGCACCGCAACTGGTAGAGTCAACACTCCGCAAGTTAGAAGAGCTACCGCCCCGGCCGGTCGCGGTCATCTCGGTTGTTGGGGCATACCGACAAGGAAAATCACACTTGTTGAACCAACTGGCAAACGTTGTGGGTATGGGCTTTGACCTCGGCCATACGACACGAGGCCATACAGAAGGCTTTGATTGCATCCTCATGTGCCACTGGGAGAAGGATGAGTACGTCTTGATTCTCGACACGGAAGGCACAGAGGATGTGGCAAAAAATGAGAAGCGAAGCACCGACATTCTGGTTCTGGCATGGCTGCTATCCTCCACGGTGGTATACAACACCCTACATGTGCCACAAAGACAGAGTCGCGTCGCTAAAGCACATGAGTTTCGATCTTGAGCACTCTCTGTTTGTTGAAACCTTCCAATCTCGCATCTCAGTGCGAAAGACGTACAGTAAGGAAAAACCCAACAAGAATAAGCAGAAGCTCACTAAATAAGTCGAACAATGAATATGCAATACTGGTAGAGCCGTTACTGGCAGGCAGCATCATGGCGCATGTTCAACCCCATCCCATATAAGCCGCAAACCCTAAGCCCGAGGAGTGCTGACATCCTCCAGGCTGCCACACTCCTGGCCCAACAGGCGGGGAGGGGGGGGGGGCCAAAGTGCTCAACAAATTGGCACTTGGGTTTTACATAGACTGCTATTGCAGCCTAGATTTTGAACTTTTGGGTCACGTGGGTTTTTGAGTAGTAGTCTTGCAGAGTAGTCTTTAGTGGTTGGCCCGGCAGGTGCAGAGTTCGATGCAGCGAGACGAGGAAGGCGAGCTGTTGGGTCTACTTTGGGTTTCATTGCAGGTGCACACCTTTACCAAGAAAGCCATTCCTTTTTAAGTTGCAGAAGACTCCGAAATTTCCTAACTCGGTGTATTGGGGTCGGCAAGGTTGCGGGGCCTTGGGCTACCAGATCAAAGCTCGAAGTGCAAAGAATTCGTATCTTGCGAGGTGAGACGCGGAGCTATCCATCGCTGACCTGGGTGGTTCGCGATTGGGCTCTTGAGCTGCCCGATGGACAGGCCTGGATTCATTCCGTCTGCTTGCAACTCCCAAATAAGAGGTTCCAACATCCAAGGCTAGGCTTGTACACTCCCTTACAAGAATAGTTGACGACATTTCCGTGATGAGTCAGAAGCCTCCAAGATGGTTGTTAAACTTCCTCAAACCGTAAAGATTATAGAAAGAATCATGTCCCCGAACCCATAGGCCGTGAACTTTGGGGTTTAGGATTCTGATTTAGGGATTGGAGTCATTAGACTGGACCGTATATATATATATATGTAACAACAAAGCGGAGCCTTAAGCTATAAGCAAAGCCCCGAGAAAACACCGATTATAAAAGATTATACAACAGAGCTCGAACCAGAAACCAAATTCCCGAGAAACCCGCGCGAGGATCTCCAGAGCTACCTGGAGGGCCTCTTGCCTTCGAGGGGCATCTCCAGGAAGGCCAAGGAGGCTCGGAAGACCGCGGAGGAGAGCGTCGACCAGCTTGAGAAGCTGGGTTCTGACGGAGCTTTGAAGTTTTGTTCGCGTCACCATCTCTATATGGTCAGGAAAGCCATATTACTAACTACATGTATGTCCGTGTTGCGGTAAGCCAACAAACGAAGTAACAGAGTCCTCAACAACAACAACCCAGGAAGCTTTTCCCGCGGCGCCAAATGCTCACCGTGATCCGTCCCGTCGCTGACGAGGTAGATCGACTCCACTGCCTTTGGAATTAGTGGATATAGTTTAACATAATTGAAACTATTGAATAGTCGACTAGATTAGATTGGATTGTTCGAATTTTGCATTGCATCAGATCATAGTCTTGTATCATTAGTTAAGGAACACTTGTCGCTCCAAATGCTTGTGACCTCAATTACATAGGAGGCTCTCCTTACTGAAAGTGATGTTGGAGATTTCTCTGGTGAGGCGGACCTGCAGCGCTTGGAGAGCCCAGAGGTGCAGCGCAGGGTCCGGCCGCAGTTCACGCAGCAAATCTGCGAGGCCGCTGGGGAGTTTAGGTTTCTATAGGGCTGCTAGGACTCATTTAGTTTCAAGGTATTTAGCCAAGTATAGGGCGTGAAAGACTATGTAGATCAAAACTTTATATAAGGCAATGGCGGCTTCAGAGGGATAGCGGGGCTGCATAAGGCATCGGGCTTACAGCATTATAGGGCTAGTACGGCTTTGCAGGGTTATGCTATGAGGATTGGGGGGTAGAGTTGCAGGCCTCTAGTTTCAGATCCTGCTTCGCCATAAACCGCTAACACCCACTTGCAAGTTTTTCATCTGCGAGGCTTGCGATGCAATTCGCGCCCAAAGCCGTGCCAAGTGCGTCGGAGGGACTACGTTGCAAACGGGTGCAGTGACTCGGATCCCCTTCAGCAGAAATTGCCGACTTCCCGTTTCAAGAACCTTGCCTTGAACGTATGTGAGAAGCAACCTAATCTACTACGCGATGTCGGAAAGGTGATGACACAGTATATCAGGGAGGTGGTGCAAGCTGTCAGATCAGGCGAGAACCTCATCATTGAAAGTGCCTGGGCAAGAGTTCAAGAAGCTCTTGCAGAGAAGGCACTGTCCGCCGCAAGCAAACTCTTTGACGAGTTCCTTCGTGCTGGCTTGGCCAGCCTGAAAGCAGAGATTTTCCATGCGAAGGGGAGCCATCTAGTAGCCCAGTTTTGCAGCAGAAGCGATGGAGTGCCGTTGGAAGAGGAAGAGATTGAGCGTATCGTTGAGGAAGCTTCGGAGAAAGCTCGGGCCAGACTGGCGGGGCTCGCACACGGATGCGAGCCAACTCGTCACCATGGCGTGGCAGTGGCACTGCAGCAGCATGCTATCCAAGAGCTCAAGCAGCTGAACAGCGAAAACCGTGAGCTGTCAGAGGCGTACTGCAGCCTCGTGGCTCAGGGAGTTTGCACGCAGCTGCAATCAGAGGTTTCGAGCTCAAGCGGTACAGATGATGGGCTCCAGGACTTGCTGAAAATCGCCGTGGACGAGTACGGCTCCAGTGCCAGAGGACCTGCAAAATGCCGGGTGGGCCACAGGCACATGGAGCGCATGAGTCGAGAGGCGGCTTTCTGAGTTGCTTTCAACTCGCTTTCAACTCCAGTATTTTTTGCATTCCCGAGCCTGGGGTTCCTCCACATCCTACACAAGAACTGCAACAAGTATACCTCAATAAATCCAAACCTTGGGGGCTCCCTCTCCCAAAAGCTTCGTGCTCGTGCCTAGGTGGCTCTTCGACAAGATGCTCGAGAGCAGTTGCGCGTGCATCAGGAGGAGTCACAGCATCTGATGTTGCTGCAAGAGGCCCAGCATCTTGCTGACATGGAGAAGAAGGACCGGTCAAGCGACAAAGCCGAAGACTGTGGTGTGTTCATGGCTTTGGGTTTCAATGCGCGTGCCTGGGGAAGGTGCAGCGTCGTTCGATGCAAGGAGTATAGGTATATCTGTACCGAGCCGAAAGCTGATCATCTTGCAAGCTCAATATCAGTACTACAGTACCGAGTAAATGAGGCTCAAGCTTGGTGTCATGGTGAGCCTGGACCTTCAAAATCCGAGCCAAAGACCCCGAAGACTCGAGTCCTCTAAATCCACAAACAGAGATTCTTGTTTTTGTCCGGAACGAAGTCTTTGCAGGACCTGGCCCAACGCGATGCGAACTGGCAGCTGCTGCAGGTGCACGGCTTACAGCTAGCCGTGAGGAGCTTCGAGCTCGGTGCGCAGGGCTTTGCGAAGTGCACAGCGCATGGATGTCGCTGATGCCGTCTAAGCTCATTGCATTCAGCCTTCACAAAACCTGCGAATCGCCTCGAGCTCTGATTTCTACGACAAACATGCCCCTTACAAAACCTAAAGCGTCAGGTGGGTCAGGGGTAGCTGATTTACCCCCCCCCCCCCTCCTCCCTTCTCTTCCTCCTCCCCGCATCATAGTCATAGTTTCAACCATACAATGCGCAAAGCCTGAAATCCGACATCCTACTTCAACTTGAGCCATTGTGAGAACCCAAGACGCCCTTCCTGTGCTGACGCTCCCGGTAGACATGAGCCAGGTCAAGGCCCAACTCCTGGAGGCCTACGAAACATTGCAGCGCCTAGCTCAGGAGCTTCAAGATCCACGTGCAAGCTAGGCAAATATAGTGGCCAAATACAAATCAGTACCAAAACCAGTTTTTTTGTGTCTTTTTTTTTATATCAAACTATAGTATATATCGTATACCCCAAACCCTACTTTAATTGTTATAAGGCCCCCCAGATTAAAGAAGAGGGTCTTCCGTCTCCTGCAGGTTCCTTTCTTCTTTGAACTCCCGTAGTACCAAGTTGAGACATAGGCCCCATAGTAGTTCCTTTTTGGGGTTACCTTATAGGATTCTATATATGAACCCCCAAAAGGAACTACTTTAGGGCCCATATGGGTAGACAATAGGATAGTAATTTGAGGGGTCCCCGGCTTGCTCTAGGTTTCTCAGTGGGTTCAAAAGGCAGCCTAAACGTGTAGACTCCGATCTTCTTCGAGTCAAAGAGAAGTTGTACAGCGCAAAAATGCTACCGGTTACTACAGTCCCAAGCTTGCAGCCACGTTACGTTTTTTGGGGATTTGCTTATAGGAATTTGTATGCATTCTCTGGGTCTCGGCATTAGTAAGACCGACGGCAATTTGACTCTTACGAAACCTCTACCTCCGCCCTGTCCTAAAAGGAGTCGGAATCCCAGCAACGGCGTTGGTCGAGGAGATTCGAGCAACTCGCACAGGAGCCTGCGCAGCGAAGTGAAGTCAACTCAGCATGGAAGATTGGGAGTTTAAATGTCTCGTGGTTCTCGGAACCAGGCGCACATGTTTAGAGAGGTCAGAATCTGTAGTCAGTTTCGGGCTTCAGCTTTCGGATCATCTGTTGCAGGACCAAGAGCAGAACCAGGGCGTGCTTAGACGACAGCACGAGCAGCAACAACGGGACTTGGCCCGGCAGCAAGAGGACCCAGCTTATCGGCAAGACGACACTCTGAAGATCCCGAAGCCCGCGACAACCCCTAAGCCTCAGACACCCTTTTATGTACTCCACGGCAGGCTTTGGAACTTGAACTTCATGCCTGTCGGGGCTCCTGGTTCACTGCTGTAATCGCGAATCATAACAGTGAGCTCTGCTCGCCACAGCTGATAGCTTAAAGGCTTGAAGGTTGCAGGGTAACGCGGTATTGCCCTGTCAAAACCTGCGAGGTGTCCTGGTCGGAGCTTCATGCGATAGGGCTCGACATACCGTACCCTTTTAACCTGGGTGACATCCCAAACATCCCCAGGACATGCGCCGGCGCATCGAGCGCTTGAAGCATGAGCAGAGAGCCAAAGAACGCCAGATCAAAGATCTTAAGGCTGAGGTTACACGCTTGGCTAATCGTCCTCCCGAAGTGATCGAGCGGAGATCAAGTTGCTCAGTGATGTGATACTTTGACAAGAGGCCACGTGCCAGCCCATTCCGAGGCCTGAGATATGCTCCGGTGCTAGTAGCACGGATGCGGAGAGCAGACTGCTTGGCGCTAGTGGACGGAGGCTGCGTCGCAGCAACTTTTGTCGAAACTTCGGCACGCAAAGCCTGTCGAACCCTACTTACCGCCTTGCAACCTTATTTAATTCATCGCCCATGCAAGGGGGCACTTGATGAGTGTGCTCCGAAATTCGATGGGACAAAGTCCCCCCAAAAAAATTCGTGTTTCCCAGAAGCCCTTCAACGAACTCCACATTGGTAACGTGCATACTCCTTTGGGTAAATTCGAAATCTAAGTCGCAATGCCGGCCTGGGCAACCCGAAGCACCTGCCTCCGGGGGTTTGGCAGGAAGGTTCCTGAACTCAGGAGAAATGGCTAACTTCGTTTGCGCCGGCATCATGTCCTGTTCGCACGCAATGGAAGATGCTGTCAGCTGAGCGGAGGGTCACCGTTTGGATTGATCGAGGTTTGGAGTGCTGCCCTCCTTAGTAATTGTGCGGCAGCATTTGGCTCCCATAGTGCGTGAGTGCAGGATGCTAGCAGCAGGATGCTAGCACGATCACGAACGGAAGCAGAGCATCTGCCAGGTTCTTATGTAAGGTTCTTGCATTTCGCAAGGTTCAGTGGCATCTATCTTCCACAATGCCCTGACAGCTAAGGAAACTTGACCTCACTTAAGACGATGATTGTCCCCAAGCCCTGAACCACAACCCCTAAACCGCCTAAGCCCTAAACCCAGAACCCTCAACTCCCCACCAATGGCAGCTTGTCGCCCCTCCAGCCATGGCAAGGTCCGAACCCTTCGTCTATGGAGGTTGATGGGGTTTCGGGTTTTGTTTAGCTACTACAAACCACGGAAAAAGCAACGACACATTGAAGAACTACATGTGGCATGTTCCGCCCCTGGTAGTAGCATCCCATCTGCGTCGTCTTTGTCGCGGTCGTTACTATGATCATGGTTGCAACGGTTACCACTGCGCTGAATAACTGTCAACTATGATAGACGGTAGATGGCTAACGGCCAAGTCCTGCAGCCGGGGCAGTCTTCAGAGTTGAGGCCGAGAGGGCCAAAGTTCAGAGTTTAGTGGACTTGGACAACCAATTCACTGTCATCTTCTAGTCTTCAGCTTTCATGTAACATGGGTGGATTATCAGAAGACACTCCACATCCCCCAAAACCTAAAGCAGGAGTGACCGAAGGCGCAAAATGCAACGACTTGCGCAGCACGGGAGCGCCAAAACTGCGGCAGGGCTTTTTCGAGCTGATGGGCGCCCGGCTACCACAGGCAGAAGGGTCGTGAGATTGCAATTTTAGAGCATCGGGGTGTGGTGTGAATTTGTCCCGGGTTCGTTGTTACAGAGCTTGACGGGGGGCGGGGGCGGTCTGGTGGACCTTTGCTGGGTGCGCGATGTCCACGAAGCGCTTGAGGGTGTGTTTTGTGCCAGCGATGCTTCGCCGCAGCAGTTGTGGGAAGCGTGCTGTGATAAAGTGTGATCCGGCATGTCGGCCTGCAAGAGCGTGCGTTTGATCCGGCCGGTGCGGGCGCCAGAGCCGCAGTTCGTCGTGGTGCAGGAAGGCGTCGACTTCCTCCGTGGCTTGGAGGGCCCTCTTTACGTCGTGTCCGTGGTAGGTGTGATGCGGCAAGGAAAGAGCTTTATCCTGGGCCTCCTGGCGGGTGGCCCCGGCATCTTTCGTTTAGGCCATCAAACGAAATCCTGCACGGAGGGGGTGGATGTCTTCGCTCGCCCTCATCCCTCCGGACGCGGGCACCTGGTATTCTTGGATGTGGAGGGCCAGGGATCACCCGATCGGAACGACACATACGATGCTGCTCTGACCACCGTCGCCATGCTGCTGTCGTCCACGGTGGTCTACAACTGCCTGTCAGTAGGCACATCAAAAGATGTGGACAAGCTGGAGCTCTTGAGCGGCTTCATGCAGAACATCTTCGATCGCACGTCTGAGGAGCACGGAGAGTGCGAGGCAGCGGGCAGCGACAGGTTCTGTCCCGCATTGATGTGGCTGCTGCGCGACTTCTTCTTGGAGATGGTGGATGCAAGCGGGAAGCCCTGCGATGCTGATACCTACCTGGAGGAAGTGCTCCTGGCACCGGTGTCCGGGGCGAGCAGAACGGCCAAGGACCAGAACCGGAAGCTGAACGACATCAAGCAGGTCCTGCAGAAGCGGTGCTTGCGCACCTTGCCCAGGTGCCCATGCGAGTGTCAGCTTTCTGTTTTTGTGTTTACTGTAGCGCAGCTCTTTATGAAAATGTGGTGGCAGTTTGCAAAGCGATGTTTCACATCGGGCGAATTGAAGGCCTGTCGACGACGAGAATTTCAGGCAGCTCGAGATTGACGGCTTAGATGGTCACGGGGTACGGCCGGAGTTTCGTGAGCAAGTCACAGGAATCATCCAAGAAATCTTGGAGACGGTGCCGCGGAAGCGGTTTGATGGCGGGGAGCTCACCGGTGCTGCTTTGGCAGAGTTGGCAGGGCACCTCACGCTTACTCTCAAGGATGGCGTTCCGGAGGTGGCATCTGCCTGGCACCAGGTGTGCTTGGCACAGACAAGGATGGCACTGCAAAGGGCTTCCGACAGCTTCAAGCAGAGCATCTGCATGGCCCAGGAGGCAATCGAAGCGTCGGGCCGCCAGAAGCGGCGCACGGCCTCGAAGCCCCCGATGTCTTCGCACGTCCTGAAGCAGACACTGCAGGATGCCACGGCAGCGGCTCGGAGCGCTTACTTTGCTACGGCCTTTCAGACGGACGAGGAGCAGGCAGCGCCCCTATCCCGTTTACAGCGCATGCTGCGTGGATTCGCTTCTATCATATGTACAGCGGTTGCTGTGTGGAATTGCCCGTATCCTATTCTCTATCTTATGTACAGCGATTGCTGTGTTGTACTTCCCCTATCCTGTTTACAGCGCTTGCTGTGTTGTGCAGCGGTTGCTGCATGGCATTGCCCGTATCCTGTTTGCAGCGCTCGCTGTGCGGTTTTGCTTCTATCTTATGTACAACGGTTGCTGTTTGTCATTGCCCCCATCCTGCTTACAGCGCTTTGTGTGTGGTTTTGCTTGTATGTTATGTACAGCAGTTGCTGTGTGGCATTGCCCCTACCTATCTTGTTTACAGTGCTTGCTGTGTGGCTTTGTTTCTAACTCAGGTACAGCGGCTGGTGCGTGGCACTGCTCCTGTCCTGTTTACAGCGCTTGCTGTGTGGTTTTGCTTCTTTGTTATGTACAGCGGTTGCTGTGTGGCAGTGCGCCTATCCTGTTCACAGCGCTCGCTGTGCGGATCTGCTTCGATCTATTTTATGCACACCGATTGCTTTGGCATTGCCCTTATCCTGTTTGCAGCACTCGCCGTGTTTGTTGCTTCTATCTTATGTACAGCGGTTGTTGTGGCATTGCCCCTATCCTGTTTACAGCGCTTGCTATGTGGTTCTGCTTCTATCTTCTGTATCGGTAGCTCCAAGTTCTCCCGAGCCTAGCCAGTGGATTCGTTTAAGCTGTTCGTAGATCAAAATAGAATCGAAACGTTGCCAGACGGAGGGTTGCAAGATGCAGCAGGCGCGGTGCCTCAATGACTCCTTGGCCCATGCCGCTGAAGAAGCGCACCGAGACAACGAGGAAGTCGCAAGATCCTTCTGCAGGGACCTCCTTCAGGCCCTCTATGCACCGGTGGCAAGCAGTGTTGAAGGCAAGCGCTACATCTGCGGAGGAGGCTATACCCAGTACATGCAGGATGCTGCAGGAGTCCAGCATGAATACGCGGAATGTTGCCAGGACACGCTGGTGCCGGAGCATGTTGTTACCGAGATTGGGGAGGAGTTCTGGCGCAGCACAGAAAACATTCGCAAGATCTTGCGAGACAGCGATAAGCAGCTCTCGGAAGCAGAGAAAGAAAAGGCAAAGCAAGAGGAGCAGCTAGTCCAGCTAGAGCTTCGCCGAAAGCTTCTTGGCTTTTGTTAGCTCGGCCTTCACTTTCCAATTTGCTGGGCCCGGCAGGTTCATGATGAGATAAAGCCCCGCACAAGACCCCTCTGCCACTCAGGCAGGAGTGGGAAGAGAACAAAGCGCACCTCCAACGTCAAGAGGCCGAAAACCAAGAGCGCATGAGGACCTGGGAACAGGCCATGGGCAGCATGAAAGACCAGATGCGCATCCAGCAGGAGCCTGCCCTGCAAACGGCTTCAACGCTTGATTTCAGGGATTGTAGGGTTATCTCAAATTCTCTATCCGGGCAGTTTGTTGGTGGCATTTTTCTGTACCGTTGACACTGTAGGGCTCGATGCGTTTGCAGCTTGCAGGCTGCAGCAAAGTGATTTGCAGCGGACCCGCAATAGATTAGACCATGCAAACCGTAAATCTACAACCTTAACAACATCTTAACAACCCTGGTAACAACCCTATGACCCCGAAGTCCTGGACTTTGAAACCCCAGAAGCCCGACGACCCCGAACCTTGAATCGGAACCCTTTTCCATCGCGACAGGAGGACATGCAGAGGGCCAGCGAGCAGCGTGAAGCACAGATGGCGGAGTTCATTCAGCAAGGCCCATGGCATCCGGGAGGATTGAAGTTTTGAGGGTTTCGGATTCGGTCTTTGGGGCGTCTATGCAGGCACGGGCGTGATGAATGGATCAGTCCAGACATTCACAGACCTTTGCAGCACCTATCCGGCAAGGCCAAGTGGAAGCTCGGAAACAGATGCAGGACATCATGAAGATGGCCAGTGAGCAGGCGATGGCTCAGCAAGAGCACATGAGCTCACTGCTCACGTCAATGCAGGATTCGCAGCGGACTCAGCAGGAGTCCATGAATGAAGTCATGAAAAGTTTGAGGGATTTGGCCAACAGACCTCCTCCGAAGATTGAAGTGCAACGATCCTGTGCAGTACAGTAAGCAGGCTCCAGCGTTGCTTGGTGTGCTGCCTGTGCACTGTTGCCTTTTTCTGGTGTATGGGGGTCGTGCTCCAGACAGATGGCGACATTACAGGGGTGCTGCCTGGAGAGGCAGGCAAGGCACAAGATGTGTCAGTGGCGGTTGTTAAACACGATCCCGTGCGGAAAGCACTAGTTCCTGGTGCTGCAAGCGCCCTTGCGATGGCATTGAGATGAAAATGATTGGGTTGCTTGCGACTTTTGTGAAAGACGCCAATTAGAGGGATGCGGACTCGATCAGCACATGCATATGTTTCCGTGGCACCTGCGCATCTTCCGTGTTTGATGTAGCATCCCGCGTCTTCTGCTGTTGAGGTTGCAACATGTACAACAACTGAACATTTTCTTTTGTTTGCAGGCTTCTCGGCCGACTCAGCTCCATGCAGGCGCGAGAGCGGGGTCTGCGCACCGAAAAAGGTCTACTTGCCAAGTCGTGCACCTGCGGTCCGCCCGATGTGCGCGATGTCCATGAAGCGCATGAGGGTGTGTTGTGCCAGCGATTCTCCGCCGCAGCAGTTGTGGGAAGCGTGCTGTGATAAAGTGTGATCCGGCATGTCGGCCTGCAAGAGCGTGCCTTTGATCCGGCCGGTGCGGGCGCCAGAGCCGCAGTTCGTCGTGGTGCAGGAAGGCGTCGACTTCCTCCGTGGCTTGGAGGGCCCTCTTTACGTCGTGTCCGTGGTAGGTGTGATGCGGCAAGGAAAGAGCTTTATCCTGGGCCTCCTGGCGGGTGGCCCCGGCATCTTTCGTTTAGGCCATCAAACGAAATCCTGCACGGAGGGGGTGGATGTCTTCGCTCGCCCTCATCCCTCCGGACGCGGGCACCTGGTATTCTTGGATGTGGAGGGCCAGGGATCACCCGATCGGAACGAGACATACGATGCTGCTCTGACGACCGTCGCCATGCTGCTGTCGTCCATGGTGGTCTACAACTGCCTGTCAGTAGGCACATCAAAAGATGTGGACAAGCTGGAGCTCTTGAGCGGCTTCATGCAGAACATCTTCGATCGCACGTCTGAGGAGCACGGAGAGCGCGAGGCAGCGGGCAGCGACAGGTTCTGTCCCGCATTGATGTGGCTGCTGCGCGACTTCTTCTTGGAGATGGTGGATGCAAGCGGGAAGCCCTGCGATGCTGATACCTACCTCGAGGAAGTGCTCCTGGCACCGGTGTCCGGGGCGAGCAGAGCGGCCAAGGACCAGAACCGGAAGCTGAACGACATCAAGCAGGTCCTGCAGAAGCGGTGCTTGCGCACCTTGCCCAGGTGCCCATGCGAGTGTCAGGTTTTGAGGGTTTAAAGTGCTTGCCAGCCTTCGTGCCCAGCGCCACCCTGCCCAGATTTTTGTGCATTTTTGCTCACCTCCCAGTTATGCTATAAACTTGTCAATTGTCCTTTCAAGAGGATGTTGGGAGCTTCCAGTGGCACAGCAAGCCTTCGGCTAGTCTTAGTTCTTAGTTGCTCCTTATTCCGAGAAGCAAATTCGTTTCAAACTTCATCGAGTTCTCCGTGCACTTACCTTCCTGATGAGGTTGGAATGGACATTGTGGTCCGTTCTTCGGTGTTGGTATCTTGCAGCTATCAAAAGAGTAGTGCGTCATCGTGTTTCGTCCTTTTCTTGACCTTGTCTCGTCAAGCCGCTGGCAGGCCCATTGCTGGTGACGACTTTCGGGATCTACAAGAGTGCGGGCTTCAGTCACCACCGTTGCTTCCGGAGTTTGTGCAGAAAGCAGAGAAGCTTCTGAGCGAAGTCAATCGCTTGCAAATACCCAAGTGACTTGACTGCCACGCTGTTCAGCAAATTCCACTGTCTAGACCGGTGTGGTCCTAATCCGCCAGTCAGAAGCATTGTCTCCATGTCGACATGTCTCAGCATCTTGTGTCTTCTATACGTGATCGGAGATGTTGCTGCACCCATCCTGCTACAGCTGCTGTTGCGTTCTTGCAGCAGCTGAGGCAGCATAACGGCAGGTGTGTTTCTGGAGCGATGCTAGCAGCACTCACGGAAGAGCTCGTGTCCTCTTTAGACTCGAAAGGGGTTCCAGAGCTGCTGACGTCTTGGCAGCAAGTATGCAAACAGGAGACGCTCCGCGCGTGGCAAGAGGCTGTCATGGTGTACGATGCTGAGTGGAGCACCGGGCCACTCCCTATCGATGATGCCTCGGAGATTCACAAGAAGGCTTTGGGCAAGAGCTTGCAGGCCAGGTCTTCTCAAGACTTGGCTTGGCTTAAGGGTCCTGTGAACGATTACGGTTCCGACTGTTCAGTCTGAGGGTCTGTCTTGGGATCCCAATTATTTGTTTTTTTTTGAAATTCCCAGGTCTACCGCTCGATTGTTCTTGGCTCCGGTTGTATCGACGCGCTCATGCAGGAGATTGACCGGAAGCTGGAAAGCTGGCTGACGGCGAACGATGCTGCCGCGGAGGCGCTTTGCAGCCGCTGCCTGAAGGAACACCTCCGCAAGGTCACGCAAGCCCAAGAAACAGGGGACTCTTGGCTCTGACACGAATATTCGGGAGATCGCGAGTGTTATTCGGAGCGGCAAGAAGCTTATAGATGCCATCGCAACGCAATCTGCACCTGCACAGAGGCCAGGACCAAATGCATTGGCAGTCACAAGGCATCCCAGCAGCCGCAGAACCCACCACAACAACAGTTATGTACCAATTCCCAAGTCAGATCACTGCAAGTATATACCAGCGGCAAGAAAGGTGCAGCAAGTTTGTGCAGTAAACCACAGGGGGTTGCTGTCACGTAGTCGTATTTGCAAAAAAATGAAGGATGGGCGACTCCTTGAGATACATTGTTCCGAGGACTACTGCGTTCCGGGAGGTCTTGCACTCTACGACCGTGCGACCGCTGCCGTGTTGAAGGAGTTCCGAGGCAGCGTTGAAGCCCGGCGTTTTCCCGTGGTCGCAGGGGCCTGCGTGGCAGACTGGGTGAGGCTCTTCGGATGTCGTTTCGCATGACTTTTTCGGACTATGTTGAGTCGGGGCGAAGGCTCTTCACAAGTTAGTTGGAAGTGCCCGAGAGGTTGATTCCATGCCGATTAGTCTCGTCAACGTTTTAGGCAAAACACACCCCCGTTTACTCATGTCGGCACCTATATCCCGCAAGGACCCATGGACCAGCGCGAGCAGCCATTTGTAAGGCTGACGATGCGCTGCATCAGGCAGGGTAGCTTGCCAGCTTGTACCATACAGTTTCAGAGAGGGGTCTGTGGTTTTCACCCTTGTTGCTGGCTTTTCCTGAAGCCCACACCCTTCTCCTAAAAAGTAGAACTCCGTAAACCCTTTGCCCGAGGCCCGATTCAGGACACAGTACTCGATCAGAAGCCAGCGCATTTCAATCCTAAACGAATTGTGTTCTGCTAACTGTGATTTGACTGAGTCGGTCGATAAAAGCACTGATCCTCAACTGATGCCAAACAGAGACCTCCCGATGCATCCGATTTCTGCGAGTCACCCTTCATGCAAAGCTTTGCAGCGTCAGGCGGCGAAGGAAGCAGAACTCCGGTGTCAGCAGGAAGCTCTTTCGGAGCTGCTTGGCATAAGATGCTCTATGCCTACACTCGCATGTATGCCAAGAACAGAACGCAAAGACATGCAGTAATGGATGCGAGGCAAACCGGACGATAGTTGTCATGGAAAGACTTAGGTATACAATGCTGCGCCCATGCTTTGGGTTGGGAAGCGGTTATCTATTTAAGGCTTGGTGAGCATCGGCTGTCGGGGTTTTGGTTCGGCAACTTCTTTCTGCAGGTTGGAGCACGCTGCTTCTATGGAGGCGTTGCAGAAGCAGAAGATCCTCAACGCGAACAGGATGGAAGTCGCCAAGGCCGCTCACGAGGCAGAAGTGAATAGATTGCGTGGTGAGTCGGAGGGCCTTCGAAGGGAGCACGAGCACTTGGCTGACAAACGGCGTCAGGAGTTGCAGCTCATGCTTCAACAAGGTCGGAAAGCGGACGCAGAGGCCTTTCAGCAAACCATGGCTTTTGCCCAAGAGGCACAAGCATCCCAGCTCAGGGGCCTACAAGAGGCCATGAGGCAAAGCCAACTTCAGCAGCAAGATTTGCAGCGGAATATTTCTGGAAGCCTTCGTGCAATCGCAGCCCACCAGGAACATGTTGATGCAGCTGCCCACCGTGCAGCGGAAATCGCAAATCAAGAGGCCTCCGGTCCTGCGAGACTTCTGTTGCCCATTGCGAACTTTGCCATGAGCTTCTTCCCATCAGCTGCGCCAATGATTGGGGCGGCTGCATCTGCACTGACAGGCACTTTGGCACCGAGGCATTAAAGACCATCGGCTGCAAGAGTCAACGACTACATGTGCAGGGGACAGCGGCCTTGAGTAGGATGGACACTATCATATATGTACACTGCTGTTGAATTCGGGGGTGATTTCCGCAAGTTGTTTCTCATTGAATAAACCTGGTCTGGAGCCACAAGTGCCTTCGAAGAAAGTCTGGCACAAAAGTCGACTGCACACCTTGAGGAGGTGGTCTGCGCATGATGCGAAGATGCTCGTAACTGATTCTGATAGTATTCACTGACAACAATCAGCCACCAGAACTCCTATTATTCCATAGTGCTCATATTTGTCAGCAGGTGTGCGCAATGCTGTCAATAGGTAGGACGATAGGCATGTATGTTTGTTCTGTTTCCCCCCGCTCACATGTTTGTTTGTGGGCGGTTATTCCAAACTGCTTTCCTCCTCGGAAATAATGCGGTTTCAACACTTAGCTTAGCTGGCATTTGTTTCCCCCACAGGGAATCCTAACTGAGCGCAACCCGCCATGTGATTCAAGCTTGAATGTACATGTCCGAGCTGTCGAAAGTCATGTTGAATCAAGCCAGACCCCCCAATTACCTAACACAAAGTAGACGTGTTGCTGCAGCATCTTCGGTGCTCAAGCCAGCGGCACGATGTGAGATGAAAGGCGGCATTGGCGGCCCATTTTGCGTGACATGTAATGGCACCCAAGAACTCCAGGTCTTCGAGACGCATGCAGGAGTGTTCTCCGAAACCGGGGGCCGGGGGCTGTATTTGTCTTGTCAGAGCTGAGCAAGTCTTCAGACCCCCTAAGCAAACCGCATGCCTGCAACTTCGCAGGAGCTCTTCATTCTGCCTGCAGCCACGCCGCGTGTGGCCCGTGCCTTCGGCAGCTGGTGCTGAGCCAGCTTCCGAAGAGCCGCGAGCGTTGGCAGCTCGAGATCCTTTGCCCCGAGCCTGGCTGCCAGAAGCGACTCCCTCACCGCTTGGTCGTCAAAGTCAAAGAGGCCGATGACCTTGCGAAGGCCATCGACACGGACGGCCTTTGGCCAAGCCTCGGAGACGAGGAATCGCAGCACTGCCCCCTGTGTGGGAAGGCGGCGGCGGTGCACGTAAATCGCGCTTGCGGCCATGCAGCCTGCGAGACCTGTTGGCTCGACGGCCTCGAAGAGAAACTCCGCTGGTGCCGCGAGAATGCCGCCATGGACATCCCGTGTCCGCACCCGGGCTGCCATGAGGGCTGCTACGATGTGCTGCGCCACTTCGAGAGCCCCTTCCTGGAGGAGCTCGAGCTCTACGTCCGGGAGGCCCAGGCGCAGCTCGTCGAGATCTCCTGGTGGTGTGTGCGCGGCCCGCCCGGGGCTCCGGGACCGCTCTGTCCCTTGGCTTCGCTTTTGTTGTCTGTTTCGGATTCTAAACAGACAAAGCTGCGAGCGAAGACCTACATTCAGTAGTCGTTCTGCATCGCGAGCTTTGCCTGCTGTCTTTTCTTCGGGAGAGGTCGAGTGTGCGAGCGCCGTTCCATGGCAGTGCTGCATTGCCCTTGCGGCCTCGCGGCTTGCCCGTCTTGCTGGAAAGGCTTTGTGCAGCAGCAGCTGGCTCCCTGGATGCAGTCGAGCATTCCTCTGAGATGTAGTGGCTGAGATCGAGCCAGAGAGAGAGAGAGAGAGTGTAATTAGCGGGGCAACCCTCTACACCCTAACCCTGGCGAAAGAAAGAGAGAGAGAGAGAGAGAGAGACGGGCAGAGAGAGAAAGAGAGGCGGAGGAAAGGAGGAACTGCCAACTAGATGTTTCGAGAGCGACCATGACCCAAGATGAACAACCGTGGAGGTCATTGGAACTCCCATAGCCTACAATCCCGGTTCCAAACGTCTGAGTTCAAGAGGCCCCTGAAAACCGGAGAAGCCAGCGCTCTAGCCACGAGAACAACTGGAATCACATCCGTTGAGCAACTGAACTTCCTCTGGTGACTCTAGTGACACCAAATTCAGCCCTGAACATCTTTGAATGGATCCTACATTAGTCCCTGGACCCCCGCAACTTGTGTTCGCAAACCCCAGGCTACACTTGCAGTCATCGCCTTGTCCATTTCTGCTTTAGCCACTGCTTCTCACGCCTGCTAGCCCACCGCGTTGCAACGAGGCACTCTTACAAATCCAAGGCCTTCCCCCTCCCCCCCCCCCGGTTCTGAAACCTGAGCGCCGAACTCCAGAACTTGTAAACCCCAAACTCCGCAGCCTACACCGCTAAATTGCAGAGCCTTGGGCCTTCGGTTCACAAGCACCAGAAACCCCAGAAAAAAGGCACCAGAAAGTGACACCCAGACACGCCCAGACGCGCCCAGACGCGCGCGTTTGAGGCCCGGTGCAAGGAAGACTTCAAGTTGAGCCCGCTGGGCTGGTACCCTTGGCGTGCCGGGTGCAGCTGCCAAGAGAGCCCTGGGCTGTGGATCCGTTGGAAGTTTAGGTTTAGGGAAGCTTTCAGGTAGCCTTCGCAGAGCTTTTGTGGGCCCCTAGTAGCCCTAGTATGCTTTCCATTTTCTTCTTTGCTGTGCTGGAGGGTACAGTCGGGAATCTTTATGGGGGTCGGGACGGGCGGGTTATGGGTGTGTCTATAGGTCTTTGGGGATGCTTACAGGATTGCTGGCAGATTTTGAATCGCGGACGTTCTGAGTCTAGGTTGATTGCTGTAAGGTGTGGGGACTCCTTCAAACCGTAATTACTCTTCAACCCCACCCCGCACATGCGCTTTGTGCTCCACAGCACGTGCACCAAAATACAAGAAGCCAGAAGCCGAATGCATATGCCACATGCTCAGTTCAATTCGAACCAACACTGGTCCTTTCACCCTCACTCATCGTGAGCCCCGCCCAACACATTCTACAAGTAGCGTCGACATCAAACTTAACGAACGTCTTCAAATCGCACGCGACATGTTTTGGCACATTCGGAGTGTGCCCCGTACACTAAGCACCACATGCTGAGGCCGTAAACCCCAAACCCTACACTTTTACATGTAGTTTTGGAGTTTACGGAGGTCGGGCTCAGGGAACTCGATGCTTTGGATTTCGGGCTCTTGTGCATGTCTCTTCTGAACACGATGATAAGGGGCGGAGCTTATAACTTGCCACAGAGAGGACATAGATAGATGGATAGATATGGGCAGGCAGGTGCGTAGAGAGACACACCGATAAATAGTTAGATACCTCGATAGATATGTAGGTGCACATCTATCATGATAGCATGAGTTCCTTATTTTGTTTCAGAATGGATCAGAGATTGAGTTCCGTAGGACCCTGCAGAAGCGAGTATAAAGCTGTAAGCGCGCATACGCCCTGGTAAGTGCATTGCAAAGCAAGTTCCACAAGCCCTGTGAGCTCATAAGACACGAGTCAACACCGCTATTTATCCAGCAAAGTCAGTTCCCCAACAAGAGCCCAGTCTTTTCGTTGCTGCCTTCGACTCAGAAGCGTAGGCGGAAGGACTGAGGCCATTGTGGGGTAGATTTCTCCGGCAATGGCAAGCCCTGAACTGAAACCCCACGCCCTTCAGGTTTCGCTGTTTGGGGTTCAGGGTCCATGGCCGTTTGAGCCTCGAGCGGGCCATGCATCCTACACCTGTAACCGGAAGCCCCTTAAACTCTAAAACCCGTAGACCCGAAAACCTAAACTCAGACTCCAAGTAAGCGGCCTTCCCACTCTAAACAGCGAGCCTTAAGATTTGAAGACCCTGCACTGCAACTAAGGAACCTTCTTACGCTGCTGACTCCTTCTTTCACGAAGGGCTTTCAGGAGCAGCGGGCTTTGGTCAAGACGCAGCAGCATGAGCTGAAGTACACGGGCCGCACTGTTCTCTTACAGGTTCTGGGCTCCGGCTTTTCTGTGCAACGTAACGTTAAGTTGGAATAAGTGAGTTGTTCTTTGCCCCTTTCCCGTTTGCAGCGTGTCGTTTCTAGTTGCTCTTTGCCCCTTTCCTGTTTGCAGTGTGTCGTTTCTAGTTGCTCTTTGCCCCTATCCTGTTTGCA